ACCATCAATATATTGGTATAATATAATAAAAGTTAACTTTGATGGTACTCGGAGATTTACAGATATAAAACGAATGGTCTCTCAAATGTACCTCGACATGTACTGTATACTATCTATCTGTGACCCTCAAAAGTTAGCCATCAGTTTACTATGTTATACCACAGATTTTACTAATGTTAAAGAATTTCTACAAAGTCCATTGTGATTGCTGCATCTACATGTACAACTGTATGTAATGTAACTTCTGTTGTGTTACATAAGAGTACCGTAGGCCCATGATTGGAAAAATACTGTACATTGCACATCTGATATATGTTTGTATCCTCTTAAGCCTTCAATCATCTGTTTAGCTCAGTCAGTAGAATGACTACTCTATGACTTGGCTGATCTGAAAAAAGATTTGTTGTCTTCCGTTCCAAGATGACCAACTGCTGACAATTTTAGGTGTTAAAAAAACCCTTAAAATTAGGTATTTTACATATCTGAAACCAGATCTTAGGCATTTGTTGCTTTATTTTCTTCAAATTTGGTGAAACAAGTAACCAGTACAGGAGGGTTGATGCATGTCACTTTCATTTGTAAAGTCTACTCAAGATGGCTGACGTGTTCCATCTATCAGGTCACTCAAGTACTGCAACATCATTGGTAATTCTTGAAGCTGTAAAGTAGCAATGTAAATACTGTTTACTATGCACAGTATATAGGTGCTAGATTATCCTTAAATGTGTATTGTTTTGAGATTGAACACAAAATGTGTGTGCTCTGGTCATTTTATGAGTCACAATGATAATGAATAGTAACTTTGTACTGATAATTGGCATTTGTTTTCTTGCTCTGAGCATGATAGCATTCATTGTCATGTGCATGACACTTGTGAAAAATACCATAAGATGCTGTGTTTTACTCTGCTGTTATATTCAACATCACACACCAAAACTACTCCTATTATTGGTAAATGTGGTACATCATTTATTGCAAGATTCATATTATTACATAAATGAGCATAAATTAAATGGCTCTTTTCAGTTTAGGGCCAACACATCTTCCTAAAAGAAAACCACCTTACCTCATTGATGTTGTTTAACTGTCTATTTTTATACAGGACGAAGCTCTTTGAATTTAGAAAGTGTGTTTAAATTTTGAAAAAATGAAATAGTAAACAAAATAACGCCCATTGGTTAGTTGAGTTAGCAAGGTGACGTAACGTCTTGTTTTATATCAGCAGTCTCTGGCGATTCCATTTGCTATTGTGGATATTCTAGTTATTTGTGCATTCAAAATTGTTATTACAAATTTACTCAGTAAATATACCGTACTCCATTTGCTATTTTACGGGTAGATGTATTTTGTGTTAGTAATTGGGAAAAGCAAAGTGCTTGATTTTTAAATTTCCCACAATAATATTGAGTATATGTCCTAGAGTAAACACATTGTACACTATGCTGCTACTTTTCACCCTTCACCCTCTTTCAATTTTGTTATTTTTGTGCAAATGCAGTTGCACATGTAAGGTCACTTACTACTTCTCACAATACCAAGCATTATCTCCAGTAATAGTCGTGAATAACCTCTTAATATTTTTTTTAATGACCTAGATGTTAAAGAAAATAAGTGAATGAAATGGCTTGTTTGCATCAATCAGCTTTTAAACAACATGTCTGAAAAGAATTCTTGCCAATTCAGATACAATTTGGTTCACTGATAAAAACTTAAAAATTGTTTGGTGCAAATCATGTGCATTGTTTAGCGCATGATTTACAAAATAAACTGATTATGAAAATCCACTCTTATCAATTTTCCATTGAACATTGCAATGTCTCTTGGAAGCGGTGTTTGTCTATGACTTTGCATTCAATATTTAGAAACTTTAAAATGGGAGTGTTTGAATCTGAAATCAAATTGTACACTTGTAATTACATAAGTAATTGTGTTCTAATGTAAAACGCTCCTACATGTACGATGCAAATAACATTTCACACAATTGCGTTGCTTGAAATCTAATTTCACAGAGAAACATCATGCAGAAAAATCTACTGTCCGTGCCATCTGCAACATGAATCGGAACAAGGCTGGCTAGTCAACAGTTGTAATTCGATTATGGAAAACAATGTGTTCTGGTATTGGCCACATTTACAACTTTAATTTGAATTTTCATTCTCAATAAGGACGCGAGTTATGAGGGTAAAAATGGAAAATTGAAAAAAACAGTGTATTCTGTGTATTATTGTTAATGTTCAAGCACTCCTGGTGGTCTCGTGCTACTAATCAACCAATGACCGTTTAAATGCCTTGCAAGAACCAATGAAATTTGTTATATATTATTTTCGCAGGTGTGCCCTTTTTGAGTGTTTAATACTTAGCAGCTGTGTACTTGTGGGTTTATTCTGTGTGTGTTTGGTTGTTCTAATCTTGGT